AGAAAAGCTTTGAAGTCATTTTTGTTGATATATCTAGCAAACTGTATCTAATTCTTTTTAGAAAAGAGTCGTTCCCTGTTTTACATAACATATGACAAGAAATTTATAATTAAATCTGCACGTAATTATGAGGCAAAATTAATTCAAACACAATTTTTAGAAAAATATTTCCAATATGTACGACAAACACCGACAACATTTTTAGCCAAACTGTAAGCTGCATACTTGCTTGTTTTTTAATGCATTACAAAATTTAGTTATAGAGAAACGAGTGGTTAACGGATAACTGTGCGACATGGAACCGGATCCGGCCTGTCGGATCCACAGAAGAAAATCTTCAGGATTCAGTCGGTTGTCATTCTAAAAACAACTTAAATAGACCCGAACTGAAGAAAATGTTTAACGTTGAAATTTATCGCATGTAATTTTCACTGATGTTTGTTTATCGCTTTAAGGTTTGGAATGTTCGGTATGTATTGACAGTTTAGGTTAATCTTATTTATTGACTAACAAATGTTTTTATTCCATTCCTCAAAACAAATCAGGTTATATTCCGCATTTACCGAAGCCAAGATCAGTTAGTGTCGATACATTTACAATGAGATTTGCAATATTTCATAATTTTATACCGTCGAAATTGAAAATACATGAAAAATATGATTTGAAAGGATCGTTGATCGGAAGAAGTGCGACGGAAGAAGAAATTAAGTATGTTATAAACAAGAGAAGAGAACAAACTTGCAAAACGCCTATGGAAGGAAGCTATAGATAGACCGAAACTCTCACGAAATAAGTATATCGTTGAGGTTTGAAAATTCTACTGTAAATGGGCACAGCTCACGCAAGTTTTGAACCACTTAGAGCTACTTTCAACGAGTATCTATACTTTTTCGTCGAATGTGCACAGTCTCTTCAAAGTACATTTTTGGTCTCTCCCTATCTACTCTCTACTACTCTTTAGAAAAGATACACCAACATACAGAGATAATGATTTTCGTCAAATTCATCCAACTGGATTAACATTATCAAAATCGGTTTATAATTTATATAAGCAAGTAATTACAAGAGATGTTGAATTTTTAGAATCATTAAATATTATGGATTACTCATTACTTTTAGGTAAATACTTTGTTTCAGATTGATTTTGCTAAAGCAGTAGGATGGAAAAACTTTCATTAAAATACTTGCTACATTTCATTCTCTCTCATTTAGCCGTGCACAATATTGACAAGCTCATGAAACCTACACCTGATCCAAGTAATGAAGCTGTTCTTCTCCCTCACTATCTTTTTCGCCTGTAAATCCAGCAAAATCT